TAGCATCTGTACAGGGCAAATTCCTGCTGAACAGTGAGCTCTGTGCGCTTTGCAGGCTATATTATTACCCAAACAGACCTGATAACATTCTGAAACAATCTCAACTTCCTGGGAAGCACACAGGGCCAGCTACCATTTTATAGGGGCTAAAACACTAGCATACTTACAAGATCTTTTGCTGTCTATGGTCAAGTACCCACTCCCACCTGGGTAAAGTGAGGAAAACTCATGTAAGGTGCTTTTCCCAAGAACACAACGTCGTGCCTAACACTCGAACCCCTGAGCCCACAACCTCATGATTGCAATTCCAGTAGCCTAACCACTAAACTACGGAAATAACATTTATATGGAGAAAAAAATTTTGAGTTTATTCTGCTTCTGTATTTCCCTGACAGATCTCAGGGGTAGAAGACAGTTCAATTTTTAGAGCAAATGAATTTCCTTTGATGACTGACTGATGTTAAAATATGCACCTATGATCCTGGCTGATAGAAACTCATCCTAACCTTCCTTTAACTACAACAGAATCCTGCTCTTAACGTTTTAATGTTACTCAAACTGTACCTAAACCAAGCCAAAATGTCCACAAATCCATAAAATTATGAATTTTCTCCACATAACACATGAAAGAATTCTACAAAACAAGTTATTGAAGGAAATCTTAATGAGGGGGGGGGGGGAATTGCAAGAAAGATCATATTCACAATACATACACACCAAAGCAAAAATAATTGTCAGAGGTGTAAAGCACTTACTACAGTCAAACCTCGTTATACCGCCTACCTTGGAACGAGCATGAAGCTGACGGTAAAAGGGGATAGCACCAATTGCCATCTTGACTATTGGTAGAGACAAACAAATCCATTGTGGTCAATCTTGACTCATCTAGATCTGTCATGCGTGATTGCCAAGCAAAAGAAAAAACGAGTAGCAACTAATTACATGTAGACCTACAGCTCCGACTGAACTTTACGTAAATTCAACTTAAAAATGTTTTCGGATATCAGAAGCGAGGCTATATTATGTGTCAAAGACCCCGTAGACGTACTTTTTTTTAAACCCGGTACTCCTCAGTCCCCAGACAGCCTCAGACCTTTCACATTGTACTGTGAATCCACACAAGCCTCACGTGCTCCCGTCAGCCTTTTGGTCATCAGGCTCACATTTGGCAATACCAAATGTTTTGCCGAAAGGCCGAGGAGGTGCAGTTCCTTTGTAGTATTCATAAGCAACTTTCAAATGACATTCCAACTTTTACATGTAAACAAAATTATTGGCCAAAGCTTAAAATAATACCATTTTCATTATCAGGGCAAACCAGGAAAAGAAGCTAAAATAGGCCAAACTCGCAGAGACGCATTTGGGAAAGAGAAAATCTAGCAGCCACCAAGTGAGTGCTGTGCACCTCTGAAGCCCAAGTCGCCGGTGGTATAACGAGGCAAATTTACATTAGTTAAATAGGGACTATACAACTCAAGACAATTGGCGGATGACAGTGTAAAGGCGCAAACACTACGTTTATATAGACGTCCATTTTCGTACACTAGCAAAACCTGGCAGTAAGCGAGGTTGGCAGTACAATGAGGTTTGATGGTGCATAGGGTCTCAAGTAGAATCTGAAATCATTTTTTAAAAAGGAATACACAAAATTGCAAAAACTCAAAACATTGAAACCATGAGAAAATTTAAAAAGATACACACTGAGTGTAACAAAACCATAAGCTGGAAACTTTAAAAAAAATAAGTAACACATAACAGAAAACAAAAGAAACCTCAAGAATTATAAACATCAAACGGATAAAAAGAAGAAAAAAAAAACCCTTTCAAGTGAACTCAAGCCACTGAAATGCTTGTCATTTCTGATATTGGAGAGCTCACTAGCAGCCCAAGCTCTAGACAAATCCATCTTTAACTGATTCAGCCCGCAGCACCGTCTCCCTTTCTTCACATCGCTTTCCTCTCTTCTTTTTTCCTTACCACTGACATTCCTACCTTTTTTCTGGTGTCATAGAATAGTATTTTTTATTCTGAACATCTGAATACCACACACAGGGGTTTTATCAAATTTAAAGATTTCTTTATTATATTAACTTTCCATGAAACCGCCCATGAGGTCACAAAGCGACCACATATTATTTGCGTCCGGGGTCAAAATTATCTGTGGGCTGAATCAGTTAATTTGATAAAACACTCGGAAGAATCAAATTAGTGTCAGACCACAGACGAAATAACATTAAAACATCTTAATTAAACCCCAAAAAAATGTCTTCCTAATAGTTCCCCAAAATAAAGATGAGTATTCTTGAAAGGTTATGCAAAGAAACGTTAAAAAATGTCCTTGACAGGGGGTAATAATTAGTGAAAGACAAAAAGAGTCAACAAAAGTAAATAGAAATTCATCAATCCTTCCCATTTTGCCCACAAATTCTAATCTCCATGTGCAAACAAAGTGAACAAACCAGCAAAAAAAGTACATCTGACAACACATAAAAATAAAGAGGTAGGAGGATTAGTATCAGTTCTAAATTCTACTGACAACTTCAACTTTCCATGAGAACTATTGCAAGGAAAACAAAATAAATGAGAAAACAAACAGATGTTTAAAATTATGCTGAGAAGTAAGGAGCTCAATGGAAGGCATGAACTGTTTATGGTAGGATTAAGATTTTAAAATGTCCTGTAAATATTCATGGACAAAATTTCATCCAAAATCCTTGCTTCTGGTACATATACAAAGGTAATCACAATTATTGCACAAAATACTTCTGTCCACTACAGTATTCAAGAAATCTCAAGTGAAATCTCTTCTCAGTCAGATGAAATGTCAATTTGAATATCCCAAGTACTCAATATTCTTATTAGAACATCAACATACCTCTCTATAATACATTTGGAGATCTAGCTGCTGGATACTTGTTCAATACTTTCAACTTTCATTGTAACAACTGATTATCTATGGCTTGTCATAATGAAATATATATAGAGAGAGAGATAAATAGAGAGATCTTTAAAGCTGAATATTCTATTTACAAGAAAAGAAAACGCAGACATCAAGGTAGCCGAGGCTGATGGGATTCTCCACTCAGAAGGAATACAGTACAACGAATACTGTACACTCACAATTAAATATGTGAATACAATTTTTATATTGTTTTAGTATTACACACAGTTAACGAAGAGAAGGTTGAGATAACTTGTGACTAATGCTTCTCTTATTTTAACGGTAACAGACGCATAATACAAGCACTTCTCACCCCCAAAAAAATCCTTAATTCAAAAAGAGACAAAATGTGTTCTCAGACATCAAGAGCTAAAATGTAAGTTTGCATATCTCTTCAAGACAAGCATCTTCAAAAACAACTTAATTCCCAAAAGAATGGATCCCAGCTGCCTTTGAGCCTAACATAACACTCTAACTTGAACCATTACAGAAAATAAGCTGTAGCAATTCTTAAAGCTGAATAATAAAAAACAAAAAACCGGCCAAAGAAGGAAGCATCCAAACGAGCCGCATATCCATCCATCTCCCTCAATAAAATAAGCTCTCCATAATTATAACAGTAGACTGTACTTATATATATATTTATACATATTCCCACTCAAAAGCAGGGTCTATGTAGTTAACGAGGGGCATACCAAAAGGTTTTTTTTACCTGACCATGAAGGAATAAAGGTAAAAAGCTGAAATTTGGTACAAAGCTTGGCCTTTCTCTATTTAGCTGCCTCCCACAGTTACACATTTTTGCCATCGGCGTATGACCTTGAAAAGACCTTGAGAATAGAGGACCCTTTCAGTGTCAGGAAACCTGTACTTCTTTGACCTCATCATCACTTTCAAAATGCTTTCCTTTTAAATCGTGTTCTTTTTAGTTTGGGGAATTTAAAAAATCAGAAGCGCATAAATCTGGAGAATAGGATAGATGTGGTAAAATTTCATAGCCATTTTCGCGCACAATTTCTGCAGCTTTTCTTTAAGTGTGTGCTGGCGCGTTGTCCTGAAGCAGCAAAATGCCTTTTCGGATCTTTCCTCTGTGTTTTTATTTTAAAGCCTCTAGTAATTTTTTTAGCTGATTAGAATAATGGTTTTTGGTGATCGTATATCCATTTTCAAAAGAGTCTGTCATAATCAATCCTTCTTGGTCGAAAAAACTGATTGCATCACTTTTCCTCTCAATGGCTGCACCTTTGCCTTCTTTGGTATTGGGGACGAGGGTTATTTCCGCTGCATTGATGCAGATTTTGACTCAGGATCGTAGCGGTGGACTCATGTCTCATCCATGGTTACAAGTCTTTCCAAAAATTTAGTTTCATCCTTTTCATACAGACCAAGCAATTCTTAACAATAATCCACACGTTGCACTTTTTGAGGAGGAGTCAACAAACATGGGACCCATCTCATAGAAACTTTCGTCATATTCAAATGTTCATTAAAGATTCTTTCAACTGATCCAATGCTAAGCCTAGTTTCTTTGCTCAAAAGTTCGACTGTCACCCGCCTATCACACAACACAGGTTTCTTGATTTTCAACACATTCTCTTCTGCTGTTGCTGTCACTGGGCGGCCATCACGGCGGCCATCTTCAATGTCCACGAATCCCCATTTGAACTTTTTACACCAAAATTTCATCACAGCATAGGATGGGCAATCAGTTCCATATGCAGCATGCATATTCGTAAAAATATCTTGTGGTTGCTTGCCTTGCAAGAACAAAAACTTCATTACTACCCTGTGCTCAATTTTCTTCATTTTTAAGAAGAAACTGGGGAACAGCATAAGACATAGATCTACAGGTGAAGAAAAAGAAGAAGAAGAAATGGATATGGATTGGACACACCCTGAGGAGACCCCTGACAAGCATCATTAGGCAGGCTTTGACGTGGAACCCACAAGGAAAACATAAGAAGGGAAGACCAAAGATGACATGGAGGCGAGCGGTACGAGCGGAAATTGAAAAAGCGGGGACATCATGGAAACAACTAGAAAAGGATGCACAGGACAGGCTTCGCTGGAGTAATGTCGTTGATGGCCTATGCTTCACTGGGAGTTAAAAAGGGCAAGAGAGAGAGAGGAGAACAGCATACCCCCAATTCACTTTCAGTGCGCTGGTGGTAAAACCTGAAATCGGAAATTCCCCAAAATTGACATGTATTCTAGGAAGATGATTGTTGGCTTTCACCCCAAATTTCAGCTTTCCTCTTTATTTCTTCATTGTCAGGTTAAAAACTTTTGGTATGCCCCTTGTACTATTTCCCATTACCCAGACAGAACCCTAACAGGAATTGAAAATGCCAAATCCCCATTGGCAAAAGATCTTTTTTTTAAATGTGATTGGTGCGGCAACTTAAATGATCATCAATGTGCAACACAATCAATTGATAGGAACAGAAAACTCCCCACAATAAATAATTCTCTCAGTGAAATAGGAATGTGTATAAACTTAAAGCAAAAATACATAATTAAACTTTCACAGGAATGTCTTTGAGCCCAAAGAGAAAATTAACCCCCGTGAATGTCATTTACAACAAAAAAATTTAATAAATAAACAAAATAAAATAGAACTTTTAAAAACTAAATATGTCAGAATATTAAATTTAAATAAACTATTTAGCAAGATTATAATCTGCATGACCCATTATTGGTTTATGTATTCAAAATGCAGGCTGTAAATTTGCTTAAATATAATTAGAGATGAGAACGATAAAAACATTACAATTGATCCATCACCTTTACACAACAATTACTGTGCACCTTTAGTCACAGAATATACCTACTTGCCAGAACATACATATGGCAGAACTGATGTTTCCACCTGTTGTAATAATAAATCTGACTAAAATTAAAACTCAAATTCAAACCTAAATGCGTACGGTACTGGTAATGGGGCTGGGGGGGATGCACGTCAAGCGTAATCACTTGTAAATTTGCCAGGTTTCGTCTGTAAATTTCCCAATTTCGGTCTCATTCAAAATTCTTCATACACAGGCGAACTGGGAGTGCTGTTGTAGGGACACACTTCGTTCCCTAAATGTGAGATGCACTCCACTGTGGGGTTGTGGCCGCTGTCCCACATCCCAGCATTCACTTGTGAGCACAAGCCATACAGGGTGCATGGAATCTTTGGCCTTTTTCGGAAGTCATGTAAGAGTCCTCGTGCCTGTAAAACCAAAAAGTATGAGGCCATTTGTTTAAGTATAAAAGTTGCAAAGCAAAGCTGTTTAAAACCTGTAAATTCTTTGCCATATCGACAGACCGAAGAGCTACAACACAAATGGCTGCTGGATCGGAAAAGTAAAGTAAGTAAAGTATGTATAAAGTTACACTTCCAAGTTCAGCAAGATCATAGAGCATCACATGTGTCTATAGACTGCAAATACAGTCAAACCTGTTCTAATGGCCACCTGTCCGAGACAATCCCCTGTACAAACGACCATTTCCCACCTTACATTTCTTTTATATTCTAATGACAATGTCCAAGACACCCATCTGCCTAAGACACCTACTTTTCTCTTTGAAAATGGGTGGTAGTCTTGAACATTTCAATTCAAATAAACCTAGGATTATTTACTGCTAGGCCCGTCACAGTTTCACTAGCGTCTTATTTGCCAGAAATGTCTTACGATGACCCAAGTTGACCCTCACGGTTTAGCGAAGCGCCTGAGTGACATAATGCTGGATGCACACCGCTTATCCAACTCATCTGATTCAAACGGAGGTTAGTGTTCTGAAACATGAGATACTTGAACCACCAATCACTCACCTTTTTCAGGACCAGCTGCCCGTTCATATGCATGGCTAGACTTGAAAAGTGCAAGAGGATTTCATCAGCTGGAAGACGCTGCTCCACCACATCGTCTCCGTAGATGGCCACAATAGCCACACACACAAACAGGTGGAAGTAATCTGTCTGGTATCGAGCCCAACACGCTTCCCAGATGCGAAGTGCATCATCTTCACAAAACTCTCGTTTAAAGCAGAGTAAAATCCACCTGTGGAAAAAACAAAACGATGCTTTACCAATGTTTCACTAGCATTATTTATGTTAAAATCTGACAGGTCTATAATACAAATGCTGTAACATCATTGTATGTCAATTCTGTCTACAGTTCAAATTTTGTAAGAGACTCACTGAGCACTTTAAGTGGATTTTAAGTGCTGTGCAAGCAATTTATTATTATCATTATTATTATTATCATTAAAAACACTGAGTATCATATCTGTTACATCTTATCTTAAGTTTGATTTAACAGGATGACAGTCAAAAGTGAAGCGTGCTGACAAAATGAGTTACTTTTCGCAATCCACAATGGAGATATAGGCCAAAAATTGACATGAGGGTCAAATTTGTGGATTTCCTATAGAAACTATATTCGGTAACTATAACCTGTCTTTTATTATTTCATACTTACAAATTGTAAAAATTTCACCTTTAAGCATGATGTATCTATTTCCTTAAGGCTTGAATCCGAGAAGTAACTCATTTTGTCAGCACACTTCACACTAAATACTGCCTCATAAAAAAAGCACTAAAACTTCAGAAGTGTTTTAAAGAAACAAAGCCAAATTCACCCTATAAAATGTAAAACAACACTTTTTCATCAAAACAAATCAGTTCTGTAGAAAAAAATAGCACAAACAATTAATCTGAACAAAAAGAAAAATGGTCACCTATGACAAAACAGCAGTTCCAACGCATCTTGCCCCAACAACTTCAGATGATAATGGAACTTTGGTAACGTCACACGGAGTAGTTCTCTGAGAAAAATCTGGAGAGTAACAATAATAAGATAGGAGGCAATCAGAATTTTAAAAATTTAACTCACTATCAGCCACATCAAAAAGGAAAAAAAACTTTCTCATCAATAAGATAAAACAATTTCCTCGCTCATACTTGACCAAAATCACTTTAAACTTTACCTACTAAACAACTGACTTATTTTTTTAGGTTCTGCATAAATGTCAATTGTCATTTTTCTTTTCTCTTAGTCTAAGTAAGAGTTTAACGACACTTGCAACACAATAAGGTCACATAAGTGCCGAAGATTAGAAGTGTTACAAAAGAGCAACAAACACAAAAAAGGAGAGATAAGGACGATAGATGTTTGATGGGAAAGAAGTGGCAAACCACACTAAAGCATCCACCAACCACCTGCCTCTTTTCTCTTCTTCTGAGCATTAGGGCATAAAAAAAAAACTAGCTTGGAACAAACAGCAAGGAGAGAAAATAAATCTATAACAAGTTTAGCAAAAAAAAGTGACAGCAAAAGAACAACAAAATATAGTGATTAGGAGTGCCACTTAGAATAAACAAAGGTTACAACTCCTTCAGCAATGCATCAAAAGAATTACATTTTTTTTTTTTCAAATTTCACACATAAAGCAGGAACAAAGTGTTCAACAAACAAAAATTTGAAACAACAAAGATCTCCCAAATTCAGGATGAAAAAGAAAAAAAAAACTGTTTATGTGCAAATATTGTGTGTCAATGAAACAGTCTCCACATATGAGAAGAGAATAAATTTGTCAGAACAATTATTGCGGTAGATGATATGGCTTAAACATAACATGAGAAAAAAAAGAACAAATTCTAAAAACAATTACTGAGGGTAATTGAAACAGTTTCCACTCATGACACCAGGATACATTCTTTACACCCCCCCCCCCTTCTCCCCAAAAAACAACCTGGGAATATTTCTGCTAGGGTGATAACAGTTGTAAAGCCTATAGAGCATGCTGTAGAGCATAGACGTATGTCGCGGCGGGGTGGAATCAGGGGCTCGTCAATTTTTGGGCATGTGGAGTTATTGGTATCATCTGAAAGCCTATTCATTAGTCTCCCTTTAAATTAAAAAATATCCATCTAACTAGAATAGAAGTCAAGATATTTGCGACTGAAGAAGGTGGGGTTGCCCGGTTTCAGTGGTTAAATTAATGAGAACATGGCCACCCAAGTTTGGTAACATCAATAACTTAAGAGTCCTTGAAAACTGAAAATTCCATATTTTGTGCCTTTAACATTTACCGCCACATCTCGCCGGGCGGTAAAGTTTGTCACCCAGTTTCTTTGGATATTCCCCAAAATGCCTTTGCCTTTGATGGCAAGGGTTTTTACTATATGAGCCTTGTGATGGCAAAGTGTTAAACCAGGTTTTTCAGTAAAATTCACATGGAAATTTGTTTTCATACGAACATAAAAGGTGTTTAGCCAAAAAACAAAATTTCGATAAAAATTGCCAAACTGATGGAAAAATGCCTTTTTCTTCTATTTCTTTAATCTGATGAGCACATAATTTCACCATGATACCTCACAGATTGTTGCTGTAGCAACCAATCCACTCAAGCCCAAATTTTGAGTTTTTTTCTATATTTACACCTTCCCAAAGCTCTATTAAAGACGCACCTTTCCTCATAACCAAAATTCAATTTAATGCTACGGTCAAGGTTAACAAATTTCTTGCTTTTCATACTTCCTTATAGGAAGAACACAACAAAACCTAGTTTTTTGTCTCTGACGTAAAAAGTAACCAAACAGAATTAAGTGAATTGCTTGCTATAGCAACGATATAGTGAGGTGTACTGACAAAATGAGTTACTTCTCGCAATCCACAAATGGGCTCAAACCCGAGAAGTAACTCATTTTGCCGGCACGTTTCACACAGGTCTTATATAAATGCAACTCTTATAATCATCATTAACACTGACCAGCTGCTGATCCATGTCGCTGTCCTTGGGGGAACTGACAAAGATGGTGCGGGTCATGAGGCCGGAGAAGCACCAGTAGGCCTGGGACTCCTGCTGGACCGCGGCCAGCACCGGCGCCAGCAGGTCCGACATGCCCTGGGTGTAGCCCATCAGGGGGTTGTCCACCGCGTAGTTCAACAGGATGTTTCTGTGGTTCGTGAAAATAAATGGCTGCTTTTAAGGACAAGCCGGCTAACCTAGATTTCGGGGGTTTCCAGAAATCTTGACCTTTAGTTTTTTTGAGTTTTAGTAGAGGTTTTACAGCGCTCGCAACTGCATAAGGTCATATGAGCGCCAGAAGATTAGAGGTGTCACAAGAGAGTAACAAAAATAAAAAGAAGGGAAAGTAACAAAAATAAAAAGAAGGGAAGATAAGGACGATAGATGTTTGATAGGAAAGAAGAAGCAAACCACACCAGAGCACCCGCCAACCACCCAAAAATCTTGACCTACACCAAAAGTGGGCATTGCCCTACCGATAGGAGAAGTTTGGTTTCATTGGTGTGTATATTTGTTTAGTAATGGAGAGACTTGTTTTTGCACCCCCCCCCCCTCCTTCCAAAATGGAAGTCCACGATATTCTAAATAGTCGACAGAAGAAGGTAATGGCGGATTCCACACGACTCAAATTTGTTCTCGACTGGAACTGTCAAATGTGCTTTGTTCTATGAAAAGTTAGCTCACCGAGTCGTCAGATTAACCAAAAGCCAAAATGTAAGTCATCAATTGGATTCTCTAAGTGTACCAACTCTGGAATAGTTTGCTAAGTTGAACATGTCACGGAAAGTGCCGGCCTTCTGCGGAACTCCTCCCGTAGTGGGTATCTGACTTCGAGTTGGGGAAGTAAAGGCGGCGTGGAAAGGTACTGGCCACCTTACCACAATATGTCGAAGGCCCAAGAAGTTGTCTCACTAACAAGGAACTCCCCAACGTCCGGATCGGATGCGGAAACTTTTACAATTAATAATAGAATCATCATTATCGCTTTACCTTGAAGTAGAAGAATCAAAAAAGAAAAGTCATCCTACCTAGCCCATAGACAGAGTACATACAAACAAAGCCAATTTAGCTGTTACGTTTCAAAGTATTATTATGTTTTGCTGACAGCGTCTATGGAAGTCGGAAATCGGGACACAACTTTTTGTACAACTCAGGATATGACGAAACGACATTGAAAATCAAACGCACAATTTCGCGGATGTAATTGAAATAGTGCATTCTGAGAAAGAATGATCTGAATAGAGGATTTACAAATTCCTTACTTTCGCCCACTATATTAAAAAAAACCCAGCCCAATGTATTGTCACAAGATACTTGGTAACAACATTGAAAAAAACCAAACACACTTACTTACTTGTTTGGAGAAAAGGCATCATTGCACACGGCACAATATCATAACTGCTCCTCCCACCGCTCAAGGATCCAAGACAGGGTCTGCCTGCTGATCGTGCCAGTTATCAGTTGGTTGGATATTCTTCTGGCGTTTCCACGCAATTTGCTGCCTCCCCCCGACCTTCTAGAGACACCAGCGTCTCTTAGTCTATCCATTGTGTGAAGTGGTGCCTTCATTCCTCCGCCCCCAACCCCTCGTCAAAAAAAGGAAGAAAGAAATTCAGTGAATGTAGATGTTTTGCAAACAGAACTTTATTTTTTTAAAACTGAGAGATCCGAACGAGTCAACCAAATAAAGTGGTTTGGTCTCATTATGAGAAAGGGGCCACAGTAGCCAGCCTCAGTCAAGGCCTATAGCATGCGATTCGATGGCTTCAATGCAGAAGGAAGGACAGGAAAAACCGGATCCTGGAGTCAAAGAAACGCATCCAGGGCACATCCTGGAGATACACAGAGAAACACACCTGGCCCACATCCGACAACTGTATCTCCCCTCGCTGTTTGAAATTTAAAAGGGCAGAAAAGGTAAAAGAAAGTAAAATCCAGATTTTAATGATTTCTTTATTATTATACTGAAATCCCATTTGTGCAGTGAAATAAATTATGAACCATTTTCTGTTCATTGACACCAATATGGGCTTCTTGGCACAGCGTTCCCTTCCCTGTCTCTGGTCCAAAGTCATGTATTTTTGCTCAGTAATTTAATACAGCATTGTGTATTTATAGTATGCATGTGATTGTAAGCCTACTTGTGTGTGCGTGTGTGTGTTTGTGTGTGTGTGTGTGTGTGTGTGTGTGTTTGTGT